GTCAAAGAGATTTCAGTCTCTGGGCGGTACATTCAGCAATGGCGGATTCATCTGGGAGTTATTTGAGACACCAGTTAACACTAACTTAATTTGCAAATATTTGTATTTTTGCCACAAATGCCTCTGATTTTTGCAAAAATAAGGCTCAATGAGGATACTTCATTCTGGCTGAAAGTGTGATTAGTATAGATCATCTGTTTTGCATCGGAGTAAAAATAGAGTAATCGGGCTCTGGCGCTCAAACAACTTTTTTGAATTTCCCGAGAGATTTCACTTTGACCAGAGTGGATATTCCAGAATTCCAAATCGTCTAAATACAAGCGTTAGGGCTTAGTCTTCCTAACTATCACGTTCATCAGTACAAACGGGTACTCTTTGCTGCCTCACAAACTATGATAAAAGTTCAAAACAGAATAATTTGTCTTCATGCAATCTGACATGACGACACAACTACTCTTTCTCGACTGAAACTTGGTAAATACTGGATTACCACGCGTTGTTTCACACTGTTCTAACTTCGCAGTACATTCAATGACTTTGCAAATGTAGCTCGTTTATTTAAATGACTCCGTGTGCATTTTCGGCAAACTCATCTGTGAGTAGTCAAATTCAATTGGGAGACGATGCCAGGTTTTGTGAAACAGAAGTCAAGTGTTAGGCGGGATGGTCAAAAATTCTGTCTGAATTGAAGACGTGCAGCAGCATTTCGCAAATAGTTGGCTTTTTCTTTTACCATCCATCCATCACATTCTTAGCTCCTCAGGGCTCATTTTCGCAGGAAGTTGGACGCGATAATGGCCATTTTATAAAGAAATTGCTTCATGGGTTTCTGGTGACAGCCGTCTTCGAGAATATCTTACTACCATTTGAACTATGCGAGGTTTGCATTTGAGTGTAACTCATTAATCAAAAGAATAGTATAAAGTCTTGAAGAAGTGAAGCTTATGCTACAGAACATTTCTACTAACGCTAGAGTAGCATTTTCTCGCTCAAACCTACAACTGAGTCGTTCATTGTTCTTCTGTATTGTTCGTCCCATCCTGGCTAGCTCTCAGTAATGATTCACTACTTTCTGGCGCATCTTCCGGAATCCCAAAAGGCGCATTACATTCAGAAGCGAGTAGCCTCCTTCTACATCCACATTTGCTTTGTTTGGTCGGAAATTCCTTCGTGATTGTCGGTTTGTTCCTAGAGTTCCAGAGACTGATTGAAAACGTTTCGTCCTTGAGTTTGATGAAATCATCATTGCACACTGCTTCACTAAGAAGAATGTCTCCTAAAGTTTTACCACTTGGATAGCGTGCACCTGACAATTAACATGTCAATTACCTTCAAAAACCAAAGTAACCAAATTAATAGACTTTTAAAAAGTCACAATCCTGACAAATGTGACCAGTAATCAGCGCCAGTGCAGGTTATAATTGACCATGTGCGTATGGCCCTCAACTCGTCTATCCATATTACAACCACTTTCTTAGATGACATTTGTAACCTGGTAAACAATCAGGAAATTGTGTAATTCAGATGACTGACCACCCATGGCGACAGTGTCAGATGAAACAAGTAAAGACATTAAGGTATAAACCTATCTTGGCAAAGTACCTTGCAGCTGGCTTGGTGGGCCAACTAAAGTAACTTCATTGGTTTTTGCGCATACATGCAATCGAGAAACATAAATTTATTTCCTCTAAACGAGCAGCTGTACATGGATTGTGACCTAAATAAATGGGTACACAATCTTTGGTGTGATTACTCCGAAAATGCCTTGGTAATGAAATGACCATACCGAACTCGCGCTCTGCGTATTATCTCAAGTCACCCTTACTGTGTAGCAGATTAGTGGATTTTCATGCCTCGTAGACCCGGATGTGCGCAAGAATGATTGTTCTCGAAAATCCTCCGCACCAGGTAGGGATTTTACCGCTCTCATATTTGAGCCGACCACAAAAGAAGCCTTACATTGAGTTATTAGGTTGAAAACTTAGTTGTCATGTTTCTTGAGATGGTAGGCCGCCTTAGGAATGTTATCTTATGTCTATTTTTTCCGTTTTCTGACAGCTCATAGGCCTACAGATGCAGCAAAAATGACGTTAACAAGTGCCACAAAAACAAGGAAGGCGGGTGAGTATCTAGTAAACTCGTGTGATCAAACAATGGAGGATATTTTGAAGGCCCCGTTCGTGTACACCCGTATGCAATGAAATATTGTGTGACTTTCCCAGATGTTTTGAAGCCAGATTCCTTTGTATGCCAATTTTTTTTGCTCTGGATGGTGAGATGGGCCGGCACACTGATCTAGTTGTGTATCCTGACTGTCCCTGGGCCATCAATAACGCCACCACATCTCTGACGGAAGCACTTCTCGTCAAAAAGCATGACCACTGTCATTTTTTGTAAATGTAAAAGCTGAATAAACCAGTGTGCCTGCAGACTGTATGGACGAGATAATCATTTGAAAAAAAATAAACCACTGTTTACCCGAAACCACCATTTACCAGACTAGAAATAATGGATGATGGCGAAAAATGCAACACAACAGCTGCGTTTTAAATAAAACGAGTCATTTGTAGTTGTAAATCAAGTTGTCTGTGATAATTAGCTACCGTTGAGAAAAGCCTGGAAGCTCTACCACTCCTAAGTTTTGATGACCAAGCCCGTTATAAAAATTCAGGACTGATTATCTACTTGTCATAATTAGGAAGCTCCCAAACCAGCTTCGTCAAGCTGAACCCAAGCCGAACAAGTCGACTTGCATTCAGTCGTCCGTCGCAGTGTTTAGACCAGGATTGTGAAATCTGACCTCAGACAACAGACAACTAGCCACTTGATGAGTCTTTGTTGAGACTAAGTACATATTACACCGCTTTCGAGAAATGGCTACCCCTATGTTTCAGTTGGCAATTGTCAAACTACAAGTCAATGGTTTGTTGCTTATCACGTCATCTGCGACGGGGTGCAAATTTGGCAACAATTATCTGCCTACTCACGGATAGTCAGGCTCCCGTAAACGCTGACGCATTTGGTTAACTGAAAAAATGTGCTCAAATGTTCACTGAATTTCCAGGTATTTACTGAAGATTGTAAACATTCCAGCAGAAAACAATGCTGGGATTCTATCTGAACCACATAAATCTGGGAAGGCCTAGGGTTACTTCAGAACGAGCAGTCCAAAAACCCTTACGCCGATCAACCAAACCTGTGGTGCTATTAGTAGTAACGGAGAGTGATTATCCTCATCTGTTTCTTATATCAAGTTGTGTGAAGCTTCGTTCATATACTTAGCTATTTATTCGTATATCCTGAAAAACTCTGTTGTCTAGTCCACGTCTGTTTTACCTGAATAGAAATTCAGGAGTGTCGATTTCGCTCCATAATTTTATTCCCAAAGAGGATAAAAACAGTCCAGATATTTAGAAATTAACTTATAAGTTATAAGTTATGTATAAACATATGAATAAAAACAGACTCAAATAAATCCGTCACCTTAATTTAACATTTTATCTCATGAAATGTCATTCCATTGTTGTTTCGAGGGGCGGCTAAATGACAAAAGCTAACCCCAAGTGAACAAGTGGCTGTTTTATCGCTGGATTCTATAGCAGCATGACTGCCTGCTTTTCCACTCGAAAGTCCCAAAGTTTAGGCTTTCCCAAACCGTGAACTGCTATTGCCAAATTCTTGAAAAAATTTTTCTTAAAAAAAATAAAGTCGATCAGTTCACTCGAGCTCTTACGAAGTCATTTTTAATCAGTCGATCTACACACTGGTAAAAGTAAATCATCACTCTATTAGTAAGCCATATATGACCCTCTGTTCAATCACTAACGGTGAGTATGCGGTTTCAGATCTGTGTTCATGACAGTCCAGAACAGAAGATAAACTAGCAGAGATCACCTTCGGGTTGTGAGCAAAAGATGACACCGCTTACCGTATCATATCTTTATCACGCACTTAGGCGCTCTCTGATGACCAAAAACATCAGAAACACCGGGAAAAATCGATCACATTGGGTTAGCATTCTTATAAATCAAACGCAATTAAACTTCCATATTGCAATTTACATAAAGGTTACTGCTGCTCAGAAGAAAAGTAATTTTTCGGAATGCTTGAGATGTTAGGTTATACAAGCTGAAGGCTTTCAAATCTAATGAATAAATACAAGCACAAAAAACCTCATCATCTGATTGCAAAAGCGCGGATTCGTTCGCGTATTCCCCAAGCTCTGTGCTGCTTGAAGACTATATGGCATTACTGCGTTCATAAATTTCACCCGAATATATAGTCGCGTAATACAGCATCCATCATCTGGGACACTTAGACAGCTGCAACCTATTTAGTTACACTGTGAAAAACTAGGATCATTTCGGGTTCAAAACCCTGATTGGACTTCGGTGAACGGGTGAATGAATCCTGTTAATTTCGGACGTATACATTTAGAGTGACTCACGCACATCTAATTAAAATGAAACGGAACAATATGATTGTGTGGCAATTCTGATGGAAAAACCGTTCAAGCAAACTTTTGTGACATTTTGTCCTAGGAACCATAGGGAACACCCACGGTCTTAAAACGATTGGCATGCCACGGTTGCCCTTTATTTACCACTAGCGAAGTGAATGTCATCCTACGGAAAGTAATTGTGGAAAACGGCTTTTTTCCGCCACGAAGATCTTTAGCATTGAGCAAAAATATTAAGTAGCCCGAGAGTAGCGTACTCAGTTGTGGTTTTGCGAAATTATCTCTAGTTTCGGTAATAAAAAGTAGATTGATTGAATGGTATTTTCCAAGTCGCCGTACCACACCACACTTCATAAAGCAATTACAGGGATCAATCATTACAGCCTCAGTTCGAATAAACTTTGGCTTTTCACCTAGTGTTCCTCCTCATTGCCTCTTCAGTGCCGCCTCCTCAGATACAAATTTCCGTGATACCAACGGGTTTTAACTTTTGTATTCTTTGCAACTCCTACAGAGCATCAAGCATTCACCGTGATCGCAACTACGCTGACATTACTTGTGTCCTTCCTACTATGTCGTGCTGCAGAAAAGATTGCGTAAAACTAAATAAAGCAAGAAATCGTTCAGCTGTAGCACACTTTCCGTGCCTAGCTGCCATGCCACCCAAAGGTTGCACGAGGGCTTGGATACTTCCAGGTTGCCCAAGCCTTAACAGAGGAACTCGAGAGACGCAGGTCGGGTTCGAAACACAGACCTTCCGGTGAGTAAATTTGCACTCTAACTACTTAGGCCATTTCGCCCCCAAGATCGTGTTCTTTTTTTAGGTATGTTGTGAACTAGCAAAATATTTATAGATAACTTCTTGGGACTATTTTTAAAGAGACAATTCAGCAGGAATATATTCAGTCGCCTTCTGCTAATTTGAGCTCTTCTGGATGTTTTTAGGCGGTGTTCAAACTTTCATGCTAAGCAGTGTTCATCCAAAGTGTTAGAATAATGCAGTCATTCGTTTCGGTAGAATGCACAAACGAATTTA